AGGAGAACTCTACCAGTTCAGATGTAAAGGGGAACTCTGCCAGTTTAGATGTAAAGGGGAACTCTGCCAGTTTAGTTGTAAAGGGGAACTCTTTCAGTTTAGTTGTAAAGGGGAACTCTGCCAGTTCAACTGTAAAAGGGGAACTCTGCCAGTTCAGATGTAAAGGAACACTCTGCCAATTCAGATGTAAATGATAACTCTGCCAGTGTAGATGTAAAGGGGAAACTCTGCAAGTTCAAATGTAAAGGGGAAACTCAGCAGGTTCAGATGTAGAGGGGAAACTGCTGCAGGACATGTGAAAGGGTCCCGCTGCGGGACTGTAATAAAGGGTCGAGAGATGAGAGTAAAGAGCCCTGACATTGGTTTGAAGGGCTCCAGGACCAGAGGTCAGGGGGCCCTTCATGGTTCCTTGCACTGGGGCCCTGAAGGTTCTATTTATGCCTCAGAAGTGTTGAAAGAGGTTATAGGGGATAGAAAAATTGAAATATCACAAAAAGATAAAAAAATAAGTAGTTTAACTGCTTGTGTTCCATGCACTGTAGTTTTACTGCTACAGTGTGGTCCTGCTGTGCTGAATAACGTATATACAGAATACATGATTCAGCATTTCCAGCTACGGGGCACGCTTGTGCGCCCACTGCCCCAGCTGTGTTGTCATTCACTACAGCACAAGCCGATCAGCAGATCCCGGGACCCGCTGATTGGTTGAGGGAATGACAGAAGAGAGCCCTGTGTTGGTAAACAACACAGGACTCTCTAGAGACAGCAATCTGTGTCCGTTTTTTTCTCCCTGCACAGCAGGGAGTAAAAACAGGTACATCCAGTAAAAGCAGCACACATTACACACAGTAAATATTTTTAGGCACACAGTTAACCCTTTAATTGCCCCTGGATGTTAACCCCTTCCCAGACAGTGTCATTACAGTAATAACGTATATTCATAGCACTAATCACTGTATTAGTGTCACTAAAGATGTTAGTGTCATTTAGTCAGTTCCCACAAAGTGTCAATTAGTGTCAGATTGCCCGCTGCACTATTACAGCCCTACTACAGTAAAAATCGCTGATCACCATGATTGCTAGCATTAAAAAAATAAAATAAATAATTAGAAAATTCCAGTATATTTATCATAGTTTGTAGACTCTATAACTTTCAGGCAAACCAATTAATATTTGCTTATTAGGATTTTTTTTTTTACCAATTACATATGGGAAATGAATACATTTTGGCCTAAATTATGAAGAAATTTTTTTTTTTTTAATTTTTGTATTGGATATGTTTTACAGCAGAAATAAAAAAAAATATGTTTTTAATTTTTGGTCTTTTTTCATTTATTATAATAATAATAATAATAATAATAATAATAAAAACAGTTGTTATCAAATACCACCAAAAGAAAGCTCTAAATTGTGTGAAAAAATTGATACAAATTTAATTTGGGTACTGCGTTACATGACTGTGCATTTGCCAGTTAAAATAGCACAGTGCCAAATAGCAAAAATTGCTCTGGACATGAAAGAGGTAAAATCTTCCAGAGCTGAAGTGGTTAAAAAATAAAAACATATTGCAGATGTTTATGATATACAATGTTTTAGCATACTAAATGTCATCGAGTTAGGATTTATATCAATTTTGTGCAGAAACAATATCCACTGACTGAGAAAAAACACATTTAAAATGAGAAGAAACAACTTTACAAACCCAAGACAGTTTCTGGGACATATTGGTGCTCTGCCTGGTGTACAGATTTCTTTGGAGTATAGTCAGTCTTTGTACATCCAGTCATAACTTTTTTTCATTTAAATGTTGCTTTGGTACCTTAAAACCTCAGAAAATATTAACATATTATAGGAGTCATATCTCTCCTACCCTCCTTAATCACAAGATTATTTTTACTACAAAAAAAGAAAGAAATAATAAATGGGAAATCTGTGGCAGTCATTATATCTCTTTCAGAAGATGCTGCTTGCTGGTAGTCATGCTGATCCTATGGCTATATGTGCCAATACGCAGGTTAGGAACTTCTGCTAGATACCTTCATGGGCATGCTTGTCTCATGGAAATATGTGCGGACATGTTCCATGGACTTCCAAGCGTGCAGGCGTATTTGAGCGCAAATCCAGTTTCAGACTGACACCAAACACCCTATTTTGGTAGAAGTAATGACAGATGGTTGTTGGATGGTCTTTAGCTAGGCTGTGAACCATGTGTCCATGTATCCTGATCTTTGTGCATATCCTGATTTTCTGTTACCAAATGGGCCTGCTGTTGGATTCCTATCTGTCCTATTCTTGGTTGTGACCTCAGCTTGTTTAAGGACTCTGCTTCTACTGATCATCTGTGTATGATCCTGGCTTTGGCTCCTCACCATTCCCTTATCTTCAGTTCTAATTACCACCCATGCATGACCTCAACTGGGCCCTGTCCTCGTTACTTCTACTCCAGTTCACCTCTGCTAACAGCAGGTGTTGTCATCTGACGCCAGCTGATGGGCCTGACCTACTCTTCTACAAGATCTCTTCCTGATCCTTCCAAGACTTTCATCTTCTGGCTAGAGAGCTACCTTCAGGAACAGCCACCAGCGAACTGGTCTGAGCCACTTTGTGCCTTGAACTCCTGTAAGCATCTTTAGGGGTGTTTCAACCAGAGCTGCAAGAGAAGCCCTCTCATCACTTCGACCTTTAACCAGGTACATGATAGTTACCTATTGATATTTGCAGATCAGGGCAGATGATTGCAACACACACACACACACATAATAGGCAGCACAGGCAGCTAATTTTGTAAAGCCAATTTTCAGACAACTTTTAAGCACCCCATCCCTTTGACTCATTTTCATAAAAAAATTAAAAATAAAATTACAAAGCCTTTGTAATGAGACCACTATCTGTACCGTTTCAAGAAATGAAGACCAGTGATGCACTGCTGCAGTTCAGGCCCTTCAACAACGACCATGTTGCCCCCCCCCCTCCTCGCTGGGATGTCATCATGCCTTCAATGGAGCCTTTAGGTTCCTATGAGTATTCCACTAATGAACCCAATGAGAAGTGTCCACATACCCAGACAGTGACATTGGCACCCGAAGAAGGATCTTTCCACTCGGCAGTTCAGAAGAGAGAAAACTCACAACGCTCTCCTGCTCAACAGAAGTTAATTGTTTAATAGACGTTTGTCAAACAGACATGTTGGAAAAGTTTCCGTCAATCAGCGGATACAGCCAATTGGCTACAAGCACTAAACAGTGTATTCTGATAGTGGAATTGAATACAATCAAGGGGGGAGGGGGACATATATGCACTGTATCAATGTCCAAATTTAGCTCAGTTGTTTAGTCCACTGGGGCTATTGGCTAGATGAGGTGGGGTCCCTTGCTAGAGTTCCGATTTAAACAGAATCTGTCAAGATAGAGATACAGGTGCTGCCATTGATGACTTATTTTTTGAAGATGCATGCTTTGGGTGTGTTATCCTTATTTTTCCTTCACTATATAGTGAGTCACTGACCAAGCTTATGTGCCTATAGGGTTGATTTATAAAACTGGAGAGTGCAAAATCTGGTGCAGCTCTGCATAGAAACCTATCAGTGTCCATTTTTTTTTTCCAAAGGTTAATTGAATAAGCTAAAGTTAGAAGCTGATTGGCTACCATGTAAAGCTGCACCAGAATTTGCACTCTCCCGTTTTAGTAAATTAATTCCTATGTATCATTATCACATATGGGCATGTGTAAATCTGATCAGTGTTTCATCAAATGGTGAAGAAAGAATTAGTATGATATCACTGAAGCAGACACCTTTACAATAAATCAGCAATGGAATTTTTGTTATATTCTATCCTGGCAGATTTCAGGATTTCCTACTCCAGCCACTGGGACAAGAGTAAACCATTAGTGTGTACCTTGCCAGATAATGGAGGAGGATGCAGCAGAGAGACACTGACTGAGAATTTTAAAAGCTTATTTGAAAATGTAAATTTTAAGGGCACATTGAAAAGTGTGAAAAGTTAAAAATAGGGGTAAACTTTTTTGAAACAAATTGCACTTAAAAGAATCTGTACTGAAGCAGTATTCACAAATCCATAATTCTGTAAGGGAAGGGTTAACTGGGCTCTGGCACTATAAATTAATATTTTCTCTGCATCCTGTGCCCCTCTTATCCTTTACATCACTGTCTTTATTTAAAACATCTCAGTGAATTTGGAAGCAATTACCAAGCATTTTCATAGGTTTACTTGCAGTTCAATCTCTGCATGGGTCAGAGACTTCCAGTAACTGTTTTGTATGTTAAGATTAGAAAAACCTGTTTAACAAATAATAAAAAAGGTCAAGTACGAAATCTCAGACAACATAGTTCATGGATAAAGGTATGCAAAGAAGGAGCAGTCTTGGAAAGCAAGGCTGATAAACCAAAGTTATTTTTAAGGCATATGTCGATAAAATGTTTTCATGCATGATGGACTAAGAAAATACATACTAAAGGGTAGATTTGGTATTAAAAAATCAAGATTGCACAGTTATGTTTTACATTACAATAATTGCCTTAATGCAATTTTAGTTCTGAGCTGTCACCAAAGCAGAAAGCATTTGAACATGTTTAATGCAGTTAAAACTGGCTGCATGAAAATTGTTATATTCAAAATGTTATGCTTATCTATATAATGAACATTTTTTTTATAAGCAATTCAGAATTTTTTTACAGGACAAATGTGTTAATTCACCAGATAGAAGACTTCTTGATTCAAGAAGTTACTTCTAGCAAGAAGAGTTATATGGACATGGTGGGGCTGATTTACTAAAGGCTTTGCTAAAGAAGTTGAACTTCACCAGAGAATTATTCATAGAGCTTAGTGCATGAGGTCAAGCTCTGCTGACTTCCATCACCCAGTAATGTTCAAGCAAAAATGTTCGTTTTTTAAAAATTTCCTACCGTTTTGAGCACAGAAATATTGACATAATCAGACTGCTAGGGAGGCTACAGGCTGGTCCCCCTCTCCCCATTAAGGATTGGCACCTTTGGGGAGTGGGAGGAGAGCAGGTACCCAAAATTGACAGGTACCCGCTCCCATTTCCGCTGCGATTGCCTAGGCGATCGGAAGCGGAAGATGTCCTCCCCACTCCCTCCCCATAGTCTTTTGGGACATGTGACAGGTCCCAGAAGACTACGGGGCCATTCAGGAAGCGCAGCGCTACTCATGCATGCGCAGTGGGCACCCGGCTCTGAAGCCGCAAGCTGTCACAGCCGGGTGCCCACACTGAAGATGCCGGTGCCAGGGAGAGAAGTTGGCCGGTGAAACCAGCGGTGATGAGGACACCGCTGGACCGAGGAACAGGTAAGACTGAGGAGCAGGTTCTGCTGCACAGAAGAGCCGAGCGGCCGGCCCGCTATTCTAACACACTGAAGATGCCAGCACCTGGAACACAGGATGGCCGGTGAAACGGGCTGCGGGGAGGACACCGTGGGATCGTGGGACAGGTGAGTGGCTGTTTTTTAAAAATCAGCAGCTACAGTTTTTGTAGCTGCTGACTTTTATTTTTTTACAGTGTAAGTGGAACTTCGCTTTAAAGATTTACCTTTAACTATATAGTGCAGGGGCCTGCCTAATTGCATACAAATTGAAAGTGTTTGGGATTGTCTTCATATTATCTGGTTCTGGAAAATTGTACAAGAAAATTGTATAATGTATGGCCAGCCTTAGAGGGGAATACCTGCCATTTTGTGAGATTTATTCTCATTTCCTCTGGTGTTCCTGGGCCAGGAAGTGAAGAGAAATCTCTCTAATGGGACATGGACAGCAAAAAGTAACCTGGCAGAAGTTTTAAATCTTTAACCCTCCCCTACTCTATCCAGAAAATATATTGGCTTCATGAACACATTAATCTAGTAAAGAAGTAAATGTTAGAGACAACAGGTTATGTTAATTAAACAGGCATTATACAGCTGGTTAGCCAAAGAAAGTGCAACGTTCCAAACTTTCTCCATTGATCGATGGTTAATTCAAGACTCTACGTCCACAAACCTCCTCTTCTGGGGTCCCCCACTGATGCTGTCCACTACTTCTTTTCAGTGCCTGCCCCCATTGAAAGTGCTTACTATAGGGGCAGATGTGCAGGCTTGTTCCCGAGCTGTGCTCTGCGTGTCGTGTTTACTACAGCCACACAGAGTGCGGCTTGGCTCCATCCCTGCTCCCTTCTCACTGAATCTGATTGACAGCAGCAGGAGCCAATAGCTCCTCCTGCTGTCTCTGAGCCTAGAGAGAGAGAGGAGAAGAGAGAGAGAGAGAGAGAGTAATGACGCTGGATTGAGATCAGGCTCAGGTAAGTATTTAGGGGGGCTGGGGGGGATCTGATCTTGAAAGGTTTTTTTTATCTTAAAGCGAAACTTCACTCTCTCTATCAACATGTACTATTTCCAATCCTTATGCTGCTAGCATTAGTAAATAGATAGGAAAGTATATCATATTTACTTGTTTTAACCTTTTTTTTTTTTTTTTTGCATTCCTGCAATTACGTCCTGGTTTTCATGCCTAGATATATTATGTCATACATCTCAGGAGGGGAGGGAGGGTGCTCAGCTAAGCCAATGCCTGAGCTAAGGGCAGATGGATTCCAGAGAGTAACTTCTACATGAATCATCTGCCCTTACTCAAGATGACCACTGTCAGAAATTCCAGGAGGTGTTTTTCAAAATTATTTCTCACAATAAAGCATGGAGACATGGATGGATGGAGGCGTTTGTTTTGAATATTAAAATTGAAATACATAGCATTTTTGATTTGTGGTACTCAGATGCAGTGCAGTTCCACTTTAATATAGAGAATGCATTAAGGTAAAAAGACCTTTAGCCTTTAGAACCACTTTAAGAGTGAAGCCCCAAAAAATATTGTTCCCTTCTTAAATCGCCAGCCCAGTGGTGATAGCCACCATACTTCTGTGGTTCAAAATACAGCATATGAATTAAGGCAATGGGATTGATTTACTACAGGCAATTAAGGCAATTATGTTAATGTAAAAAAAAAAAAAAAAAAGACTGTTCACTTTGCAGGGGATTTTTCCCCAGTACTTAATGAACGTGCTGAAGTTTCCTTCTGCAACAGATACTCAGTCACTTGCAAGGAAAACTAAAAAAACCCACCAGTTTTGCTTGCACATAATTGGATGGCGATAGTCAGAGTTTCACCCCATTTACTAAGCTCTAGGGAAAATTCACTTGCAAATTATAACTTCCCTTGTAAAGTGAACAGCCTATTTAATTTAGGAAATCAACCAAATTATGTACAATTATGTTACTCACAAAAGATAAAGGCAGCTCCCAGGTGCTCGCTTCCCTGGGGTCAGTTCTTCCTTCACAGCATTCAGCAAAGTTTGGGAGTTGCACACAACTTCTACAGGGTAAAATCAACATTATCATTCAGCACAGAATGCTTCACCACTTGCCTACCGGGCACTTTTAACCCCTTCCTGCTCAGGACAATTTTCAATTTTCAGTGTTGTCGCACTTTGAATGACAATTGTGCGGTTATGCAACACTGTACCCATATGAAATTTTTATATTTTGTTTTCACACAAATAGAGCTTTCTTTTGGCGGTATTTAACCCCTTGACGCCGACGTAACACAAATATGCGGCCTCACGGACCTGGGCTTTTTTCCGTGGGGCCGCATATTTGCGTACCTGTCTTTGTGCTGGGAGCGCGCCGCTCGGCGCGCTCCCAGCACCAAGACCGCGGTGTCACTGAGAGCCCCGGGTCCCGTTCTAACGATCGGGACCCGGGACTCCCGATTCCGGGTCACGTGATCGCTGTGATAGCCTCTGATTGGCTATCACAGTGATCAATCACTGCAGCCCGGCCCCCTTGTTTTCTCTCTCTCTATGAATGGAGAAGAGAGATACATTGTATATCTCGAACTCCTGACACAGAGAAAAAAAAGTTTGTAAAAAAAAAAAAAAAAAAAAGATAAATAAATATTAAAAAATAAAAGAAAAAAATAAAGAAAAATACCTAGATCAAGGTTTGATCTAGTTCAGTACCAGGGTTAGTGTTTGGGTCAAGGTCAGGGTCAAAGGTCAGGGTCAAAGGTCAAGGGCAAAGGTCAGGGTCAAAGGTCAGGATTTTAAAAAAAAAATTGGTATCAGTGTCAGTTAGTGTTAATGTCAATGTCAGTGACAGTGTGTTTTATATTAAAAAAAAAAAGACAAAAACAAAATGCGCACTGTTGTTTCTGGACTGTACTACGGGTACAAACAACAAATAACATACACATATATGGTATCGCTGCGATCGTCAAGAACTGGAGAATGTATTTTGAGTTGTTCTTTGGTGGTAGGTTATGGTCGTAACAAGAAACACACAGTTAAATTTAAAAAAATGATTTTTTTTACTATTTTGGCCCAGTTTTCCTTTAATAATAAAAAAAAATTAGGAGCTATCCATGACCATTTACCACCAAATGAAAGCCCAATTTGTCCTGAAAAAAAACAAGGTATAATCCACCTGGATGTACAAAGTAGTGACGATATGTACGGTTTTACTAACACGTCAACGTTGCAGAATTGTGCTTAGGCATTTAGATTTGTTTTACCCTTAGGCGTGAAGGGGTTAATCACCACTGAGTTTTTTTGAAATAAAAACGCATTTTTCTTTGTTCCTGTTATAAAATTTTGCAAATAAAAAACATTTCTTCATAAATTTAGGTCAAAATGTATTCTGCTACATTTCTTTGGTGAAAATACCCCAAATTAGTGTATATTATTTAGTCTGTAGCTAAGTTATAGAGTCCACAAACCAAGTTATAAATATCTGACAATTGATCAATCCTGATGTACGGTCCATCTCATTTCTTGAGGCCCGAAAATGCCAGGATAGTGCAAATACCCCCCAAATCACCAATTTTTGGAAAATAGACAGTTCAAGGTATTTAGTAAGAGGCATGGTGAGATTTTTTCAGGTTGTGATTTTGTTACAATTTTTTGGAAAATGTAGAAATTAAAAAAAAAAATAATCACAATTTTTTTTTTTAACATATTGTCACCAGTCCAGTACAGAGTTATTGTTATTATGTATCTGGTGTGGCAGTGATCAGAGACACTGACTGGTAACAACAGTATGTAAAAAAAATAAAAATAATAATTTAATTTGTATTTTTTTTCAAATGTTTCTATTTTTTATTACATTATATTTTTTTTTTACTATTTTTTTTTCAACACACTGTGACCAAAGCAATACAATGTTACCCATAGTAATATTGAACTACTCTGGGCAAGTGATCAGGAATTCTTTCTTTTTTTCAGTCTTTTGTTGTGATTAGCTGTGATTGGGCAAAGCTCATCACATGAGACAGATGGGCTGTGATTGGCCCTGTGTGCATCATGTGACTGCTTTGACCAGTCACAGCTAACAACATAATTGTATACAATGGATGGCATGACAGGAAGCCATCCATTGTATACAATTGGTCACAGCAGTCACATGACACTGGCAACAGGCTGGTGTAGTGATATGTCATCGGCTATGTCCCGTGGACACAGCCGGTGACAGATCACGCTGCTATGCTGTCCCGCGGCCACGTGAGCGGCTCATTTTGACAGGACGTGATATGACACCCAGTCACAACGTGGAGTGTCCGGCCCGGCTGTCAATCTGTTATAGGTCGGGTGGGAAGGCGTTAAACCCCAGTAAAGGGCGAAACACATTCCTGTACTGAACAGTCAAGTTGATTTTACTCTTTGAGGCCTCATTCACACCATACATGCAGAAAAACTGATGGAAACTGTAATGCAGATTTCACCCTCAGAGACATCAGTTTTCATGCGAGCTTCAAGTTTTACACATGTTGCAGATTCCCAGGCAGAAAAATTCTGCATATAATACTAGTGTAAAAAAACTAATGTCTCTGCACCATGGTGTAAACAAACCCTTAAATAGGAACTTCATCACTATTATACAAATTACATCAAAGGCACCTTTAGAAATGTTTAGTAATGGCAATCTACAAATAGATACTGATAATTGCAGATTTTGTAATTCTGTGCATAATTTATTTTTTTCCCTCCCCATTCTTTTCACAGTGGCCATTTTTACCAAGGGCAGATTAATCCATCTTTCTTTACTATCTGGAGCTCTGCCTAGAACTGTAGTTCAGCCTCCTGAAACATGTAACAGGAAGTTCCCAAGATGCAGTTGTGAGGCCCTGGTTACCTGACTAATGCCTTAACCAATAGCCGCCCGGCCAATAGCTGTTTGGCGGCTAGCAAAATGCTGTAGATTTCCAGGTGGACGCCATATGGTGTCCTCCCGGGCATGCACAGTTTTCGCGCTTTCAGAGCCGCGCAGCGGCACAATCTGTCACCGGCCGTGTACCTTGGACACGGCTGATGACAGATCTAAGTACCAGCCCCCGTTGCTGGTACCATGTGACCTGCTGTGACCAATCACAGCAGGTCACATGACAGTTGTATACAAT